AAACGCGAGAATGAACGGACATTTCTCAGCATATCCAATGATCAACTTCTCGAGTCCCTAAAACAATGGAAGGAAATTCCCGCGAAATCAGAAATTCAATTCTCATTCAGTAATACAGCTGCACTGTCCAGGAAAAAATCACCATCATCCACTGGAAATATAATTCAAATTTTCAAACAATGTCGATTGAAACACTAAAATATTTGGAAGAAAGAAATGCGTTTCACAGAATAAAATGCTATTGATTTCGAGATCGGTGCTTCGTCACAGTACACGTCGAAAAGTATTTCAATTTTTCTCGAACAAGGCGTTCAAAAGTTACTACACGGTCGAGTGCAATTGAAGTTTTTCCACAATTTCCGCTGAAATATTTCCCCGTGTATAAATGCGATCACCTAACCTCACAACATAATACAGTACAGTACATCGGAGATCGACATCATTCACGAATCTATTCGGAAATGCAGCCATTAAAACTGCAATACCCATCACTACACAGTAATTTCTTGGACACAGTATTTACTTGCACGGTATTCACTTGTGTACCAGACGCATTTTTTCAAAAAACAACAGAACAAAATATAAGAGCTGGTCATAATAAGACACGTAAAAGATTTGTAAAAACAATTCAAGCTTCGGTGCAAATCTTTAAACTAAAGTTGTTTCTTAAAAATTGGTAAAAGATGCTCGCTAAAGTTTAACCTTTACTATTTTATAGTTACCAAGCTGATGTATAAAGTACAGCTTTAAATTTAAGACTTTAAGACTAAGTAACCATCAGCAAAATAATGTATTTCAATTTTCAGTCTCCGAAAATAGGGTGCATGTCTTACTTTCCCTATGTTAGAGTAAATATAAAATCCAACTTTTTACAACCACGTGCGGAGTGAACTCCCACGCACTATGATTCCACTTTTTCCATATAGGGCGACATTTAGCTTGTGTCTGATAGGCGCACTATCCAAAATCTTCAGATAACACACGCGTGGCAGGAACACAATGATTCTAAAGCACAAATCAAGACTACTTAGCTAATTTGAACAAAATTAATTCTTTTCAACAAATTCAACCTTTGTGCCACTCGTTTCTTCCCATCAGACGAGTTTTCAGCTCAGAAATCGCTAAAAACAATCGCCCGCAGCTTCACTTGAACGAATAAGACGGTCCAGCAGATTCACCGGCCCATTTCGCGATGAAAGCCAGCAAGTCACTCATTTCCGACGAAGGAGACATTTTCGACTCCATCATCAACCTGTTCCACTCTTCCTTGTTCGCCACACGATTGTCTTTCTTGAAGGAGATCTTGTTCCGCAAAACCGGGTAACCCGATATGATGCAAGGTTGCAATATCTGACCATCTGGAGATCTTAATGATGCCTCATAAGCCGATCTTTCGTCCATCGGCAATATCTGCGATGAAAGCTTTCGAAAGTCCACAAAATATAAGACAGGAAGTGGACTAATTGTACCTGTTCGACCTTCTGGTCAATGGACACGGCGAGAACCCATTCCTTGGCCTCTTCTTGCTTCTCTGCTGGAATACTGACTCTTTCGGGTAACGGAATCTCGAATGGGATGTCTGTGTCGATGAAGTCTGAATGATCCAAAGCATCCGCGTTTCCGTCCTCGATAGCTCCGCACAAATCCAAGAAGTGGTTGAAGAACACAAACGCCATGTTTTCCCAACCCATGCCCTTGAAATCAGGAACGATTTGTTACGTATCCTTTTGATGTGTGAAGATTCTCAAACACATTGCGTTAATCATCTACTCGTCGACAATTGTGATTTTCACGACATTCGAACCCAAAAAAAGCGAGGTTTGTCTGGTTTTCGGACAAATTCATGCAGGAACATTAAGTAGCGCACATGTCAGAAAGAGATTTTTTGTACTGCTTTCAGACAAGGAAAGAAAATGAGAATTTTCCTTCCGATGAAAAATAGAAGGATCGAGGAATTTATAATAAATATAAATCGGAATGAAAGGATTATAAATAAAACCAGATAATCAGCCGGGCTGCGGCCGGGACCTGCGTCCTAGTTTAAATTGGTATATTTTTCAGAGAAAGCAAGAATATCTGCTAATATCTCAAGTTTCCAAAACGAGATGATGAAATAACCGCCAAGCAAACGCAAACGAAAACGCAAATGCAACGCAAACGCAACGAAAA